CCCCCGCACCAGACACCAAATCTGAAGGTGCCTTGATCTTGGACTTCCTATCCTCCAGAACAGTGAAAAATAAATTTTTAATATTTATGYTACCTAGTTAGTGATATTACATTTTTTCATAGCAACCTGAATGGACTAACTCATGTTCTGTTGTTATAACTAAATAACCACATACTGGGAATTTATAAGGAAAAGAGGTTTTATTTGGCTCACAGTTCTAAAGCCTGAAAGTTCAAGATTGGGCAGCTGTATCTGGTGAGGTCCTTGCTGGTATGGACTCTCTAGAGTCCTGAGGCTATACAGGACATCATGTGCTGAGAGGGGCAGAGTGTCCTAGCTCAGGTCTTTCTTCCTGTCCTTATAAAACCACTATTTCATTAGRTTATAGCCTCACCTTCATAGCCTCATTCAGCCTTAATTACCTCCCAAACACTCTCTACCACCAAATGCCATTGTTTGATTGAGTTTCTACCCTCTAAGTAACTGACAATGGGAGTCAAATTTAAACATGAGTTTTGGTGGAGACATTCTAACTGTAGCACCTCCTGAGTGCCTTTTCTCAAGAATGATGTGCTCCACCAAAACAAAAGAAGGAAACTCAGAAGAAAGAAGAGAGAGGAAACAGGAACCACCTCATGAGATGAGAAAGAATCCCTGGGAGGATGGGGAAAAGTGAAGCTGACATAACAGCTCTGCACAGATGTGAAGGGCAATTGAACCATAATRCAGCAATGAGACCCAAGAGGCAGACTGTCACTGCTAAGAGCCTCATGTACACAGAGCCATCTTTCAACTTGAGGACAGAATGCCCAGGAGAGCTTGGCTCAGGTTTTCAACAGTACTTGRCTTATCTTGACCAGGTGCTGACGAGGATCTCTCCCCACCTGCTCTGCTGAGGATATGCATATTATTCACAAAAGTTTTCCACGTTGCACCAAGAGCTGGAAGTAGGCCATGGTGAGGTTAGAAGCAGAGTACAGAGCAGCTCCTCCCTCTGACCATATTTCAGCTGCATGTCCCCACCTCACCCTGCCAAWTTCCCAGCTGTATTAGCCCTGTGTCTCTGAAGACCCTCTGATGATGTTACTCATGACTTCCCCAGAAGGAGCTTTGTCAACTGCCAGAGACGTGGACGTCAGACCACCACTTGGAAACTGATCAGCTCCCCTCCTCCTGGAGCCTCCTTCCAGCGAGGGCAGTGTGTGTTTGTCCTCATTTTCAAAACTAGGCAGTACAGTTATCCAGAATATACATAAGAGATTGTTTCCAGAACCCTCCCTCCCACAGATATCAAAATTCAAGGATTTCAAAGTCCTTTATTAAAATAGTATAGTATTTGCATATAAACTACAGATGTCTTTCCATATATTTTAAGTCATCTCTAGATTACTTATGATACCTGATACAGTGACTACACATCACTTTATATGAATTCAGCATAGTATTTGGTATGCAACAAATTCAAGTTTTACCTATGGAACTTTCTGGGGATTTTTTTCCAAGTATTTTTGATCTGTGGTTGATTGTCAAGGACGTAGAACCTRTGGGTACAGAGGGTCTACTGTACATTGTATGAGGATAGATACACAGATGGAACCAGAAGGTACATCAAGAGAGCAATTAGCACAAAAGTCAGGATGGTCATTGCTTCTTGGGATAAAGATGAAATACTTTTTTATGTCTTAGGCCTTAATTGGATATAAATGTTGTGACTAGTTTATAAATGGACTCCTAATCTTTGTTTCTTTCTCTTTTTTTTTCTTTTTTCTTTTTTTTTTTGTACTGGGCTTGAACCAGGGGGCACTTAATTACTGAGCTACACCTCTAGTCTTTTTATTTTTTACTTTGAGCCAGGGTCTTGTTAATTTGCCCAGGCTGGCCTTGAACTTGTGATCTTCCTGCCTCAGTCTCCCGAGTCTGTGGGATTATAGTCATAAGCCACTGTCCCTAGCAGTAAGTTCCTAATCTTAAGAGTTGTATTGACCATGGTTTGGTCAGGAAGAAGAAAACCAGTCTAGTTATTTTTTTCAGGAGTTACCACCTCATTAATTTGTGAGTACTGGAAGACAGGTTAAGGAAAACCACCATAGCTCTTGAGTTTTGGAGGAGATTCAGTAAACCTCTGTTTTTGGCCATCACTGCCAGGAGCCCTGAGGTGGGTGAGTTCAGGGAAGTACCAGAGAGCCATATCAGAACCCCCTGTCTTCTGAGGCCACATTTCTATCTGCCTCTGCCAGAACAAATATGAATACAGATGCTTCTCAACTTATGTAGGGTTATGTCTGGAAACCCATCATAAATTGAAAACATTATTAAATTGAAAATGCATTTAATACACCTAACCTAACCTACCTATCACAGCTTTTTGAATCTACTTTAAACATGCTCAGAACGCAAACACACATTAGTCCAGAGTTGGACAAAATCATCTAACATAAAGCTTATTTTATAATAAAAATTGAATATGTCATGTAATTTCTTGAATACTGTACTGAAATGAAAAAAAAGAATGGTCCCATGAATACTACATGGTTTCAGTGAATGCATATTGGTTTTGCATCATTGTAAAGTAAAAAAAAAAAAAAAAAAATCCTAAGTTGAATCATCATCCGTTGGGGACCATCTGTATGATTTCTGCCCTTCTACTATCTTCCAAACTTCCCATGAGTGCTTCTAACTGTTAACCTGAAAATGTAGAGAAAGCAGAGACTATAGTACAGGATGGTAAAGATGTTACAGAGCCCATAGGTAATCCAGACCAAAGGTTTAATGAGATACAAGCGCTATACCCACCAATTAGCTGTCATGAAGATTTTATTAAGCTGTGTGTGAGAAGGACCCTAAATTCCAACCTGATAAACCTTCAGAACTCTATCTGGCTTTCTTTCTACCTGATTGTAATAAGATCTTTGACTATAATAAGCTTATTGGGGGAAAAATACAAATTTGAGAGTTTCACCCCTCCATGCTGCTTCTAGGTGCTAGATTATTAAGCAATATTATGTGACCCAACCCAACYCAGATTTATCAGACCCTTAGCCAAGAGTCCCCAGTCTGCGTTTTCTTGTCTCATGTAAAACAGTCCTTACTTTTGTACTAGAAGCACACAGGTCATAGGTGAGTGGACAATGCTCACAGTTACTGATTGTATTAGTCTGTTTTGCATTACTATAACAAAATACCTGAGKCTGAAAAAGTTTATAAAGAGAAGAGATTTATTTAGTTCACAATTTTGGAGGCRCCAGATTGAGGGCAGCATCTGGCAATGGCCCTCTTGCTGGCACAGGCCTGAGGTGGTACAGGGGATCACATGGAGAGAAACAGGGAGAATGTGCATACTGTTCTCTGTCCCTTTTCTCATAAAGCCACTAGTAATTCAATCATGGAGCCTCCACTCCAATAACTTTACCTAATTTTAATCAGCTCCCAAAGACCCCTCCAAACATCATAGTTGGATTAAGTTTTCATCCTCCAAATACCTCCAAGTGAGGATTAAATGTCATATGTGAACTTTTGAGGGACATACTCAAACCATATCTATASTGTTGAGCTCCTTAGGAGTCCTCAAGTTCCAAAGCATACAAAAAGAATGAAGCTAATCAAATTCAAACACACATAAGACAAAAAACAAACAAACTGTACTATCTTTATTGTCTTAAAATTGCATAGTACTTTGATTGTGCACGCTTTAAAATAGAGAGCAGGGCAGCCCACTCAAAACTATCCTCTTGCACAGGGCATTTCAAGCTGTTTTACTATGGGAGGGGAGCAGGGACCAAAATGCTGCCTGGGCTTTAAAAAGAACCATGATCTTATTAAATGGAAGTCAGAGAGTAGAAAGGGTTTGGGCCACAGACAGGAAGAAAATGTTGAAGGAAACTGATGTTTCGATTGGATTTATAGGAATTTATAGGAAGATGGCTGGAAAGGCTTCACTGATGTCAGGGGGTCAGGAATCAGGAGCAGCCTAGAAAGGAAGGGAAAATAGAAAGGAGTCCAGAGGGTCAATGCTTTGTGCTCAAATCTGAGATGAATGCCACTCGCCAGGAGTGAGTCCAGAAACAGCACACTGGGTAGCTGAGATGCACGTCTGGGCATTACCATGGCTATAGAAAGCCAAATACTAGAAAAATAACTTAAAAGCTATACAATCATCATTATAAATATTTTGTCTTTTAAAACTAACTAGTGTTGGTTTAAAAAAAAAGGTTCACAGTTACTCTGAAGAGAGCTGTATCTCTATTGCACAGTAGTGGAAAAGTCTGCTCTGATCCCCATGTGTAAACAATGATCCCCTTCTCCTTGGCAACTTCAGGACACAGAGAAACAGTATTTGCTATAAGCAAAAGCACTTGGGTACAAGGCACATTGAAGCTGTCAGCTCTACTGGGAACACGCAGAATGCCCTCTTTCCCCACGTGGCATCCCTGTAGTTGGGATGGGTCTTGAAGCAGACCAAAGGTGGTGATGGTCTCCTTATGGTCTTGTTTTCATTCCACGGTGACAGACTTGGCCAGATTTCTTGGAAAGTCAACCTATAAGGAAAAAAAGAAACTTCTCAGGACCCCACAGATCTTATCAATATACTACATCTTTTTTTTTTTAAAGAGCGAGAGAGAGAATTTTAATATCTATTGTTTAGTTTTCGGCGGACACAACATGTATGTGGTGCTGAGGATTGAACCTGGGCCGCATGCATGCCAGGCGAGCGTGCTACCGCTTGAGCCACATCCCCAGCCCAGTACACTACATCTTAACAACTATTATCAGTGACAGGTGTTCCTGGTCACCTCCAACCATGAGCTACCCTGACGCCTGTATCTTAAAAGAAAATCCTTTACTCCAGAAGCTTCATTAACTGTGTTAAATGTTTAGTTCATTCAATAAACATTTGTTGTGCACATGACACGTGTCATGCTGTGTTAGTGTTATTAAAGGAATATGATTCATACATTTAAAAACAGCTAGCTCAAAGTGTACTGTTAAAATTTCACTTTTCAGGACTGGGGATGTAGTTCAGTGGTAGCTTGCTTGTTTAGCATACACAAGGCCCTGGGTTCAATCCCCAGTATCTCTCTCTCTCTCTCTCTCTCTCTCTCTCTCTCTCTCTCTCTCACACACACACACACACACACACACAATTTTTAAAATGCACTTTTCTGCTGTAGATACACACACATTTTATTTTTTTTATTTTTATTTTTTAAAATTTTTTTTTAAATTTTAATGGGTAGACTTTTTTTTCTTTTTTTTTTAAGAGAGAGTGAGAGAGGGAGAGAGAGAGGAGAGAGAGAGAATTTTTTAATATTTATTTTTCAGTTATCGGCGGACACAACATCTTTGTTGGTATGTGGTGCTGAGGATCGAACCCGGGCCGCACGCACGCCAGGCGAGTGCGCTACCGCTTGAGCCACATCCCCAGCCCCAYACACACATTTTAAAGACCTGTTATTTTAGGGAGGAGGCTGGGAAGAAAATATAATTGGGAATGGTTGATAAAGTGTGCTTCAACTTTATTTGCAACGTTTTATTTTATTTATATGTTCAGAAAAGAAACAAATATGTCAAAATGTTAGCAAATGTCAACCCTGAGTGATATGTACAGGTTCATGAGTTTGTTACATTGTTATTTGTAATGTTACGTATTTTTAAAATTAATTTTTCAAAATAAAATAGTAATAAAACATCTATTTCTTTGCACAATGAAATATGTGTTCTTACTAGTGATATCATAAATTTTTTTTCTGGAAAATAATTTGCTGACATGTGTTAGAAGACTCAAAATTTTGAATCATTTGCTAGACTAAGAACAAATCCTAAATGTGGGACAAAGATGATGTAMAAAAACATTCACTGCTGTACTACATATGAAGATAAAAAATTGGAAACAGTTTATATAATAGAAAACTGACTAATTGTTACAAAAATCATGTTATAAAATTGTGGTGGAATATTATGCAATGATTAAATATTGTAAGTGACATGTTTATAAAAATGTGACAAATGCTTGTAATATAATAAAAAAAGTAAGAAGCAAAATTTTATTCTTGATATAATATTGAAAAGTATTTTTATAAAATTCACATGCATAGGAATGTCTGGAATAAAATATTAAATTTGCTAATTAATATTGCTTCTGGTAATGGGGTTATGGCTTAATGACAATCTTTCTGTTTTTGCAGTTCTCAGCTTGTTAGCTATCTTAAAAGGAAGTTAGCATAAAGGAATTATTTCTCTTATAACAACTCCAAATAAGTATTTAAAGAACTTTGAATTTTGGCATGACACATTGTATAATGTGCAATGCCACACTATAGTCTGCAGATATGTACAATTACATGTCAATTAAAAATAAGAAATATATTTTTAAAAAGGAACTCTGGAATTATGTTCCTCCTTTGTCAAGTCCAATTTTTAGACTTACGTCATATCCTCGGAGAACAGCCAGGTGGAAGGAAAGAAGCTGAAGTGGAATAACGCTCAGGATTCCCTGGAGGCAGTCGACAGTGTGGGGCAGCTCTATGGTTTTATATGCAAACTTGGAACTTTCAGTGTCGTCCTTGGAGCACAGTATAATTGGGCGACCCTAAAGCAGAGAAATAGGACMATAAAACAGACTGTCTCTGAAAGAGGCAATACTTCACACACAGCCGAGTTTTTAGGAATCAGTATTACTGCAGTGATAACACTAGTCTATTGTTTTTGCTGGAATTATGCACCGGTAAGGTGATGTGCACGATCCACTTAAGCAAAAAAACGTGTGACAYTTCTTGGTGTGTTTCTTCCCTTTTCTTGACAAGGTGACTGCCACCATGCTGTGTCCTTTAGCGCCCCATTACTGAGTGGTTTTAGAATGCCTTGCAAAGGGTCAGACAGCCTTACTCCTAACTTTAATGGGCTCATAATCTAGTGATGGAAAACAAAATCACAAACAAGCAARCTAAAAAACTAAAGATGAATTTTAGATAAATGCCACAAGGACACTAAAACAGGGCAATGTGATTCAGAGACATTAATGAGGTTTTTGAAGGTCTCTCAAAAAAGGAGATATTCAGATTGAGAGTTCCATGATAAAGGGGCAACTCTCTGATCTTTGGGAAGAGCATTCCAGATGGAGAATAGGCAAAGGCTCAGAGGCAGGAATGAATCTGGCATGAGTGGGAAACAGAAAGAAGGCTGGAGTGGCTGAAATCCAGTGAGATAGGAGGAAGGGTCCAGATAACGCAGGCTTATGAGTCACCATAGTTTGAAGGGAAGCTGCAAAAGGGTTTGCAGTAGGGAAATGATGTGATTGTTTGTCTCTCCGCACATCACTGTGCTGAGACAAATGTGGCAGCAGTTGGCTTGAGCACCCTATTGGATTTCATCTCCCTGTGACTTCATGAGCCCTCACAGAATGGATCTGTGGGGGTTCTGTCCTCCTACCTCAGGAAAAACTATTGTATAATAAAGAATCTGCTGGGGTTGTGGCTCAGTGGTAGAGCACTTGCCTAGCATGTGTGAGGCATTGGGTTTGATTCTCAGCACTGCATACAAATAAATGAGTAAAATAAAGGTCTATCAACATCTAAAAAATATATTTAAAAAACAAAAAGAATCTGGCCTTTATCCCTGGTTCCTAGGGAGGGAGATGAAAAACCTTTTCTGAGTTATAGAAATGTCATTATTCACAGTGGGCCTTGGACTGTACCTGAGTCCATCTAATGAGATGACTCATGACGGGCCCACAGATCGTTTCAGGATGAGAACTGACCATGCCATAAAAACCAACATGTGATTAGAGGATTGGGACTTCAAGCCCAGAAGACAGAAGGGCAGACTGGAGAGCAAGTTGAATCACATAGTCAATGATCAAATCCATCATGCCTGCTTAATAAAAACTCTTGAATTCCAGAAGGGCTCCCTGGTGGTAAATACTGATGTACCAGGAGGGTGACTTAACCTGAGGATACAGAACTTTCATGTTTGGAACCCTTACACTGTAGGTCTCTTCTTTGGGGCAAGTCCTAATTTGTATCCTTTGTAATAAGATTTTAAAAGTAAGTATAAGGCTTTTCTAATTCTATGAGTTGTTCTAGAGAACTATTGAATCTGAGGGGACTGTGAGAACTCCAAAATTTGTAGCAAGTTGTAGATGGCCCATAAACCCCAAGTTTGGTGTCTGAAATGAGGGCAGTCTTGTGGAGGAATGTGCCCTTACTCTGTGAAATCTCACCTAACTCTGCTTACCAGAATTGCCCTTCAGCAACCCTGGGGGAAAAGCTCCTATGTACTGTAAGCACTTCCTCTGGTCTCCAGGCCTAGGATCCAGGGTAGCTAGGGATAATCTGACCTCACTGAATAGCTGTTGTATTAGAGAGCTGCAGGTTGGCTTTCAGTTCCTTTGTAAATATGTGCACCACACACAAGGGGGCCTAAAAGCGAGTATGTGGTCATGCTGAGGTATGGATACTACTGCTGATAGGCAGTAAGACAGGTTGCCATGTATGGAAGAGAACAGAGGAGAGGTAGCCCAGCCCTGCGGAGAGACCTCACCTGGCGGGCTGTGACCTGTTGCAGGGCATTCTGGCATTTGGCAAAGCAAGGATCCTTCATGATGACCATAATGACAGGCATCTGCTTATCAACCAGCGCCAGGGGCCCGTGCTTCAACTCTCCAGCCAGGATGCCTTCTGAGTGCATGTAAGTTATCTCTTTAATTTTCTGTGGAAACACAAGTTGGGATTAGTGTTACACTGGGTAGATAGGAAACTGGAGCATATCAACCAGAGGGGAAAAGGGGTACTGGGAGAGGTATGACTTTGGAAGGTTAGAGCTGAAGGTTGCAAGGCAGATGGATACATGGACTGGTCAACAGCAGCGAGGGCAAGCCAGGACCAGGAGAGAGAGCTGGCTGCTGTTTAGGCATGTACAAAGCTCAGCTCACAGCCTATGTGTCCTTAGGCCAGCCTCCAGACTCCAGAGCTCCATCTTTCTTCAGCTCCATGCACAGCCACCCACTTTTGACTAAAAGTCAGCATCAGTCTAGCGTGTCTTCTTCCCCCTTCTTAGCCAGCCACATGGCCTCCCCACAGTCATCATTTATAATGACAGCATTGTATTCTTCCTTAGATTTGCCCTTATTCAATTAGTTGATGCATCATTGCCCAATTTTACACCCTTAACAACTTCCAAAGGGTTGCCTTAACTGACCTATTAAGTAAAATCATGTACCTTGGGCTCTTATTTGAATTTTTCCTATGTCCAGGTAGATATATTTCTATTCAGCTATCATTAAATTCATGTCACTGCACTGATGAGACAGCAAAGAAAACATCTCTCTACTTCCCTAGAGCTATTTATTTGGGTCATGGAAACACTGTAAGGAGTGAGGCCCCTCCCTGGAAGTTGCAGACAGCTGAAGCACCAGCCTCCAAGTGACCACAGAGGAGCCATTGACTTGTGCCAGCAGTAGCCTAAACACTTCTTTCTTTCCCCAAAGAGGAACTTGGAGACACAGTTGAATATGCATCTTTCACCAGCACACTTTGCCACTACAGCTGAGCCCTACCCCCAAGCCAGGCAGGAGGCTAAAAGTGCACCCCACCAGGCCTTGCTTCCACTATGCCCCCTGAGAAGTGCTGTGTGCCAGCCCYTAGCTTCCTTTGGCAGGGGTCAAAATCTTATAATTGATCTGAATTTAAAGACTGGGAATTGAATATGATATTGTGAAATACATATTTGGTCTTTGTCCCCTTTACCTGACAAAAAACTCCTAAAATCCTTGGAATCTTCAATGTGACAGATGTCTTTAAATGCTAATGATTACCTGATGGCTGGCCACTCCTAGGCAGCCTCAGGATGGGGACTGGTCACCAGAAAGACCAAGGCAGGTTTGGAGGGTTGGAGCTTTCAGCCTCAATCTCTGGGGTGGGGATGGGGGTGCTGAAGGTCAAGTTGATTATCAAAGGCCAACAATTGGATCAATCATGCCTATGTAATGAAGCTTCAATAAAAACACAAAAGGACAGTGTTGGAGAGCTTCTGGATGGCTCAACACTTGGAGGTTGTTGGAGGGGTCATGAAACTCTGTGTTCCTTGCCCTATGCAACTCTCTCTTCATCTGGTGTTCATCAATATCCTTGTGACATCCTTTATAATGAAACATTAAATGTAAGAAAAAATAAATAGAAGAATCTCCATGAGATGGATGTGGTAGAAATTGGAGCTCACTGAGATTAAGTTTGCATTCCCATCTAAGACCACCGACAGTACTCTCTGAATGTTTCTTGTGAACCACTTGCAACCAGCATGGTACTGCCTCTCCATTGGGGGGTGATGGGAAGGGAACAGTCACTTCCTCCCATCAGAAAGGAGGGGAGCCCAGCACAGTAATGGTGGTATCCTTGTCTTGGTTCCCAATGCTACTTTACTTGAAATATTGTATCCCACTGATATTGTTTGAACATTCTGATCCATAAATACCAAGTGAATAGTGGATAAAGGGCAAGCACTAGACTCAGGCCCCTGAATAGCTCTATGCCCTCATCTTGGTAGCCATCTGGTCCTGGCATCTTGCCTCTACTCCATCAACTCTGTCTTATACATGGCATGGATCATAATTCACACAGGGGTAAAAAAAGCTAGTCACCAATTTTAAAAATTCAGGGTCTTTGAAGCTCATTCCTGCAGAATCTCAAGTTTCTCTTGGAAGATTGAGGGATAACAAGGAACTCTGCAGAGACCCCATGCTGTAATTCTGGTTTGTTAAAATCTTCCCAGGCAGGCTCTTTGTGGTAGGAGAGAAAAAGCAAAGGCCACATAGACCTGAGTTCCATTTAGTTCCTCTATGTAATTTTTTTTTAGCAAAATACTTAATCTTTTGGAGACTTAGTTTCCTCCTGGGTATCATGTGGACAGTGATTGCCAATCTCTCAGAAGCTGCTCATGAGATGTGAATGAGCTTTTCAAGATGGAGCCTGGTTTGGGTCAGACACCGGGAGGGGCTCCCCCAATAGTACCCTGTCTCTTTCTCACCTGTAGATTGGGACAAGCATCTATCTTGTTCATCTCTGTGTCCCTAGAACTAGGACGACTTGGTTGGGAGCTTGTGCTCAGTGCAAACTCAAGGGGCAACCAGTGGGGCTTCAAGACCTTCTCTCCCCAAGCTCCTTTCCTGCTCTCCCTCCAATTGATTGCTTGGGACTCCAAAGGCTATCTCATATTTCTCTAAGGGGATTCACAGTAGTCTGTTGGATATAGGGACTTGGCAGGGGGTGGGGATGGAGGTGGGGACTCACCAAAGCTCCTTCCAGGCAAGTGGCATAGTTGTAGCCCCGACCCATCACCAGGAGTGACCTCTGTGTGTACAGCTCCAGAGCCAGGTCATGAATCTTCTCATCCAGAGACAGCACTTCCTTGATCAGTTCTTAAACCAYGCATACACAGGATAGAAGGAGACAGTCATTTCAATTTCAAAATAATATTCATAAGGAAAAGTATGGGGAATAACATAGGGCTTTGGAACTGCAATCTCCCAAGATATTTTGCTTTCTTGTATTAGTTTAGAAGGGTTTTAAACTCAGATTATGAGAARTAACTTGAGTTGATCAGCCAGAAATTTGTTGAGATGATAATTTATATCTCAGCGAACACTTTTTTGAGTACCTGTAAGGTAGGTAGGGAATTATAATTTCTAGTTCATTTTATAGTACAGCATCTGAAGCTCATATATAAGAAATCACCAGTTGGCAAGACACAGAACACTCCAAATTAACGTCCCTCTTTCCCACTGTGTGCTGTGTATACTCAAGGAAAAGCCAACATAAATTAGACAAGAGGTGCTCAATTTGGGGGGTCCTAAGAATCCTTTACACTTTTTAAAACTATTTTGAGTACTTAAGAGGCTTAGTTTTTGTGGGTTATAGCTCTTACCAGATTCGAAAATAGCACAGAAATTTAAAAATATCTATTAGTTCATTGAAAATAACAATAAATCCATTATGTTGCTGTATTTTGCAGGAAAAAAATACAATGAGAGGCATTATTTAAAATTATTGCATATCTTTTTTAATGTCTGATTTTTAAATAAAAGACTGTTGACTCAGACCTGCTTCTACATTCAATTTGTGACTTTATTTTGGYTGAAATACAGGAATATAATCTGGCCTTACAGAGATTCATAATTGGAAAAGGGAGGAATAAATAACTTTTTCAAATAATTATGAATGTTCTTCTTTGATAGATACTACATTACCCTTTGAAAAGTGGTTGTTTCTTAAAATGGAAATTGCAAATGCAGATTTGAAATCATATAAATAAAGTTTCTACTTAGTTACATTAAAATTAATTGGTTTATCAAGCACTTCAAACTCAGGGGTGCTTACCCAATGAGCCACTTCTCTCTTTTTTTTTTTTTTAAAGAGAGAGTGAGAGAGGGGAGAGAGAGAGAGAGAATTTTTAATATTTATTTTTTAGTTCTCGGCGGACACAACATCTTTGTTGGTATGTGGTGCTGAGGATCGAACCCGGGCCGCACGCATGCCAGGCGAGCGCGCTACCGCTTGAGCCACATCCCCAGCCCTTTTTTTATATTTTATTTAGAGATAGGCTCTTAGTTGCTTAGGGCCTTGCTAAGTTGCTGAGGCTGGCTTTGATCCTCCTGCTTCAGTCTCCTGAGCTGCTGGGATTATAGGCATAGGCCACCATGCTCATGTTATCAAAAAACTTTAAATGGCTCTTTTAATCTCTGCACAATTTTGTAGTATCATGCATTGGCTACGAAATTAAGCAAGTCTCCTTAAWATGGAAATTTTTTTTATAAAATATATTTTAGAAAATCAACTTGTTAAAATCACCATTGTCTCAATGGAAAAGTCTTTAAATGCTGGAAAGTGGTCAAGCTCATGGAGGCAGATATGTTTTCCAAAATTCTAAACTCTGATTGCAAGCTTGAAGTTTATTAGGGGCAACAAGCACTGTTGTATTTTTTTTTCTTGAAGTGTCAGGCTAATTATGTTCATTTTAAAATAAATGTCTGCCCAGTGCTCAAAGCAGCTTATTACTCAGTGGATGAAGCAGCCCAGGGAAGAGGAGGGAGTGGAATGAAGTCAGAGGTAATGAGGGCCCTGTGTGCAGGGTTCCAGRGCCTGGTGAGAAGTGGCCCACTAAGAACTGCTGGAAGGATTTAGCAGTGGCTAGAAAGTTCTAGGAGGAGGGCATGATTAACAGCACCATTTACAGAAGAGAGTCAAGGAAGGCAAAGTAGAGTACTAGAACATACCAGGTAAAGATCTCAGGCCACGGATGATCTCTTGCCTCCTGCTTTGTAGTGAGATTCGATCTTCAGACATCATCAAACCGAACATCACCAGAGAAATGAACTGGCTGGTGTAAGCCTACAAAGAAGGAAGTGGCAAAGACTTTCAAACAATTGTCACAAAGATGTTTGAAGAGCTAAAGGACCACATAGACAAAGACAAGAAAATGGGGTATAAGTAAATAAAACGAGACTGTCAATAAAGGGAAGGAAATCACCAAAGGGGCTGGGGTGGGGAGAAGAGAGGCATGCCAGCTGAGCAGAGGAGAGGCATGCCAGCTGAGCAGAGGCAATTGCACAAACCACATCCCAGTGTCCCAGCAAGGGAAGGAGGATAGTGGACTGGAAACCCCTCTAGGCCTCAGTCCATCCACCTGGCCCAGGATCTCCCCACTTACCTTGGTGCTGGCCACACCAATCTCTGGCCCTGCATTGATGTGGACACCGCAGTCAGTCTCACGGGAGATGGAACTGCCCACAGTGTTGGTGACACCCACGGTTAGGGCTCGGCGGTCCTTACAGTARCGCAGAGCCAGGAGTGTGTCTGCAGTCTCGCCTGCCACAGAGGGGCCCTTTCAGTGTGTGTCTGCAAGTGTGGGCTCTCTGCCAGCCTAAACCCTTCCCCCTTCCTCCCCCGCCCTCTCTATTCATTTGCCCACCCCTCTTACTTGGAAATCGGTACCCAACATTCAGGCAGCCAGTGTTTAAGAAAGAAAACACATGCTCAACATTTTTTCCTGTTTATTCTTAGATACAAGACTTAGTTACTATTTATGTGGCAAGTGCTTTCTCATCCACCGTTTCTTTGAATTCTCTTGACAACCCAGTAGGGGCTGCCATCCCAATTTTTCCATGAGGATGAAGGGCTCAGAGGCAGGATGAAATCAATGCCTAACAAGGCCACACAGCTATAGGTGACAGATGGGTCTGGCTCCCAGTACCCTTTCTAAGGACTCTAAGTTGCCTTAGTCAGAAAGTTCTCAGGTTTAACAGATTCAACATTTAAAAAGCAAGAATGCCCCAATACATTGTTTCTYAAATAGACCTTGTTTGAAAGGAAACACTTCTTGTAATCTTGCAATGTGGACTTAAATGAACATGGGAGGTTGAGGCAGGAGGATGGAAAGTTCCAGGTCAGCCTCACCAATTTAGCAGGATCCTATCTCAAAATAAATAAATAAATTTAATTAAAATAAGAAGGACTGGGGATATAGCTTAGTGGTAAAGCACCCCTGGGTTTAATTTCCAGTACAAAACAACAACAACAACAACAACAACAAATAATTAAATATAAACCAGACCATCTCATTAAAACCATTCAAGTTCACATGAGGCTGAAGTTGTTCTGTCCACATGGCCACTGCTCTTGGCTGAGCTTATCCCAGCTTTTCTGAAGAGCCGGTTGGTATTACCATGTGCTGTCATGGTCAGCTCTACTCTCCTTTTTTCTCTTTAGACTTCCAGATATAGGGCACTGGAACATGGCCTTTCCTCAGCACTAATGGTGGGGTGAGTGGGGAAGGGAGCACTATTTTCATCAGTCTCAACCACTAGTTATGATAGTTTTGGGGTTTTTTTTTTTTTTGCATTAATGAGCTAGACACTGACTGATATGTAGAACTTAGGAAYTGATACTGCATTATTTCACATGAAATCCATCTCCATTCTTTTATTAATGGCTCCCACCAATTCATGAAATATTTTATTCTCTAATGAGATGGTCAACTTAAAGGCGACCATGGTAGCCCCTGGGTAGCAAGCTGGTCAGACAGAAGGTGAGTGTGTTTGTGTTGGTTTTACTTAATGGAAACAGTATTTAAAATTCTAAATTTGGACTTGGAAAGCAGTATTAAAAGTCTCTATAGATATTAGAACATTAGCAACTAATGTTTTTCAGTTGTGATAATGACATTGTGATTGTTTTTTCTTTTATCATYTTAATCATACATTCTGAAGTATTTATGGGAGGAACTGACATTAAGTCTGGAATTGACTTCAAAATAATCCAGGGGAGGGTAGAGGTTAAYGTGGGTTTGGGTGACCCTAGATTGTGGATCACTGTCAAGGTTAGATGGTGCATTATATGAATTTCTCTTTTATAAAAACTTGGAATTCCTCATAACTAAAACATTTCAAAAGTCCTCCTAACGCTCAAGGGGACTCCAAACACTCGGCCAAGTATCACCTCCCTGACCCACTGCCCCGGCCAGGTAGAACAAATTGTTCTTTCCTAGTGCTCAGGCAGAGTTTATTCAGTAGGGGATTGCTCTTTGCACTAAACCAGAGCRGTGTCTCTCCATGCCTCCCCCTGCTGATCAGTGTGGGTACTGCACACAGCTGGAAGTCSAAGCTTGGGTGTAGAGCCCACACTATGAGGTGATTCAACCCATCRGAATTTTCAAAGAGGTATTCTTTCTTCACTACAGTAGACCCAGCAAATATTTATGAGCACCATGATGAGTTGTCCTTGAAGAGCTGGACTTGGAATGGCAGAAGTGGGAAGAAGCCATAGGGAATGGGAAAAAACATTTTTATCTAGATTCTAAACCCAATTGCAGCTTTGTCACACCTGGTTGCATGGCATTACACATCACTTGCCCTCCCCATACAAYGGCTACAGTAGCTTATGCCTTTAAGGGTTAAGTTTTTTCTCTTCTTCTCTTTCTTCCTTTCTTTTTAAAACTGGGGCTTTAACTCAGGGGTGCTTAACCCCAGCCCTTTCTATTTTGAGACAGGGCCTCCCTAARTTGCTGAGGCTGGCTTTGAGCTTGTGATCCTCCTGTCTCARCCTCCCRAATTTCTGGTATTATAGGCATGTGCCACTGATCCCACTTTCTTTAAGGGTTAAATGACCCAGGTGCATGAGAGATTGTGTGGTACATTGTAGGTGCACAGAKGATTAACTGAAGGAGGGAAGGTGGCATATGGTATAGTGCAGAGAAGAGATCCTARAGGTGAATTAATATAAATTTGGTYACATTACCTRAATCCCTTACCTGAYTGACTTATGAAAAAGCAAACATCATCCCTGAACACAGGTGTATTCCTGTCCAGAAAATCACTAGCAAGTTCAACCATCACCGGGAGCTCAGTCAGTTCCTCCAAAACTTGTCGTGTCTGAAGCCAATAAGAATGAAGACTAAAGTCAGTCATGGGCACCACAGGGACATATGGCAGCTGGACTTCTAGGGCAGTTTATGACACAGTGCCTCACTGTCCACATGGTGAGAGGATTTCAATCACCCACAGGCCACCTTGCAGAAGAAAGGGCATGGTGCCAATTCTTCTGGTGGGCTGATGGGAATGATTGCAACCATTTTGTCAAATTCGAAAAGCCAATGTATGATAAAATTTCATACCAGTGTCTCAACCTCGGCTACTGTCAATCTCCCACATTATCAAGGGTTCAGAGTATTGCACTTACAGCCACAGCTGCATGATAGCTGGTTCCACAGCCAATTACAATGAGCCTTCGACACCGTCGAATCTCCTTCAAATGGTCTTTCAAGCCACCGAGYAGCACTGCAGGACCAAATGGCAGGRTGTAAACATTGACTTTACAAAGAGACTGCATTCACTAGTACAGAGCACAGACAGAGGCTCCCCGCTCAGTACTGGGATTACTGTACCTGTGTTGGTCTCAAAATTCACACGACCTCTCATGGTATTGAAAACTGATTCTGGCTGTTCGAAGATCTCCTTCTGCATAAATGCACTGAAATTACCTAGTTAAATAAACATCAATGAGGTGGGTCAGTGTTAATCTGGTTGTATTTCTATGGCTTAACTTTTGACCAGGAAGAAAAAGTCATTAAGCAATAATGATAGTGACAACTGTAAAGCCCAATGCAGATTCCAAAGGTCATCCTCATGTATTATCCTGCCTGATGCTCATGGTGAAAAGTCAGAAGGAAGTGAGGCAGGTGTGATGACTATCTCCAGCTTACATATTAGATCCTGCAACTTAAGGTTAGGGGGCATTTGTTGAAAGCATGTAAGGAACAAACAGCAGGGCTTGTTCTCTGGGACCATATTCCCCTTAGCAAGGCCAGAAGAAGGTAAAATGCTTTATTTCCAAAAAGCCACCCATAGGGAACTACATATTAAGCAATTCCAAAGAAATAGGCAATTTTATTTTCATTTTCCTTTTGTGGTGCTGGGGACCAAACCCAGAGCCTTGGGCATGCTAGATAAGCACTGYACCACTGAGTTGGATCCCCAGCCCCAGCAATTTTCCTCTTAGCTAATAACCCCTAGCTTCTGTAATAAATAAAAACCTTTTCTAGCCTCACTTGCATTTCTGGGGCTCTGATTTGAGTGGATCTGATGATTATTAAAGAGACCATCTGGGTACAGGGTGGTTAAGCCCCTATGGAGCTTCATTGGATGCTTTAGAGGTATCCARAGACTTGGTAGCAATGTTCTCTCTGTCTGCTGCATACCTGGCATATTACACAKAATGAAAATAAAGCAAGTGAAGATGTGGGCCTCGTAGGTGAGGGAACCAGAGAGGGATCATGGCAGATTAAAGATAAAAGAAGAATACTCAGAGGGGTGACAGTTGAGGGGAACTCAAAAAAAAAGGAATTAGTCCTATGATTAGAAAAGTAAATGCAAGAATCCCCAAGTGGCAAGCAGTTGGCCTGCTTGAGTAACAGTGAGACAGCAGGGACAGGGTAGGTAGGGCATAGAAGGCAAAGGATTGAGTGTGGTAGAGCCAGGTTTTSGCGGTGGTGGTGAGGCTTATAGGCTGCAAAAGGAAGTTTGGATTTTGAGAATAGAAGGGCTTTAAGTGGCAGGATGACAGGGTCTGATTTATGTTCTTAAAGCTTTATTTAGGCTGCTCTGTGGAGTAGAAATTGAGGGGGACAAAAGTAGATGCAGGGAGGCAGGCTCTAGTTATAGAGAATTGGTCCATAGCTCTCATTACTGTGAACCTCCTGCTCAGAGAAAAAAAAAAATGATGACTGGGTGTAGGAATGTATGGGGGAGTCAGATGATGGCACAAACAGATTCTAGATATAGATAGAACTCCCTATTTGTAGATTCCAGGCCAGGCTTTCCACAGTTTCTCAGCTATGCAAGCCACAGGCCTCCTGCCCTGGTGGCTACTGTGGACAAAGAGGGCTATGACCCCCKCCCAGGGCAGGGCAGACCATGTTAGGCGCTTCCCTCACAGAGCATCTGCTCCCTGAAGCTGTTGCACACGGACTCTCAGAGGATACCTGCCTTTCATGATTTGCTGTAATTCCATCTGCAGGGTCTGGATGGCTCGAGATGGGTCATCACTAGCTGAGCGCTTGACTCGATGAATGGAGAGTTTCCCATCAGCCACTGCGGCAATGTCGTCATCCTCGAGGAAGATGACCCGGTTGGTGTGTTCTATGATGGCACTAGTGTGAGGGAAACAGAGGCATAAAAATTAGCACCCTGCTCTTAACAATCACAAAGCAGCAGTCACTATTTCCTAAATGTGGGGTCCATATCAGTGGTGTTTTAGGAGTGACAGTGRCACCATTACTAGGCACTTCAATATGCAGGCGAATCTTCTCCATCTTCTCCACACTCTCTCCCCCTCCTCCCAGAATTATTTTGAAGCTCGTGAAGCCCTCCCTAAGYTTGATCTGACTTAACSTAACTTAACCTAACCTAACCTAACTCTAACCCTAATCCATTATAGAGTATAGAAACATTTTATCATTTCTTCTGTAAACACTTTAGCTTATATCTCTAAAAGATAATAACTATTTTAACTTACTACAATACCAACATCATATCTAAAATTATTAGTTATTCCTTCATATCATCAAATATCAACTTTGTTCAAATCTCCCCATTAATCTCATGGATATCCTGTTATACTTGGCTTCTTCAAATCAGGATCCAAACTATATCAACATTGKAGAACACTCAGGAAATAACATACTATTCTGAATTGGAAAGGGAAAGAAGGAAGCATTTGTTGCTTTTTAAAACAATATGACTTTAAAATAACCCTGTAGTTTATGAAAACATGTGTCTATTTATAGAGGTAATACACCTGGCAAAGAAGGAATGATAGAATAATCAGTTTGTGAACTCCTAATTATTAGCTAATTATTAATATAGTTCTAATCAAGGACYGCCCATGAGTGTTGCAACCAAGAGGTGAAAAGCCAAGAAGTCTTATAATGGATGGACAAAGCTGTCAATGCTTGAATCCCTGACTGATCCTAGCACAAAAGGAGAAACAATGAGGCATTTTTATGCTTTTATTTATATGTTTCCTGATGGAAAGACACACCACCACCTTGGTTTTTCTTGCCCAAAATCATACCTGAATAAGGTCAAACTTCTAGAAGCTTGTAAACTGTAATTTTCAGGAAATATGGTAGACAAAGGAACATGTTAAACAATGCCATGGGGGATGCATTCAACAAAACCTKATAGTAGGAAACTCATGTGATAAATGACCCAGTTTCTTAATACACATACATRTGTACATATGCAGAGCAAGATAAAAGAGGGGGAATCTATAAGCAACCTACAAGATGTACCTACTCATAAAATGTGGGATCACTGTTTTATAATAAGTTAATCTGTTTGAAAAGTGATATGATTTTTCCCTTGACACTAGAGAGCTTCTTTTAGAAATAAGTTTAAAGGGCTGGGGTTGTAGCTCAGTGATAGAGGGCTTGCCTAGCCCATGTGAGACACTGGGTTTGATCCTTAGCACCACATAAAAATAAATAAATAAAATAAAGGTATTGTGTCTATCTACAGCTAAAAAACATTTTTAAAAATAAGTTTAAGTTAGAAAAGTGGGTAAATGAAAAAAAACATGGGTAATCAATAGCATAAATGGTACATAGATATGGTTAAGAACCATGAAGGTGGTATTAGAAGGAACACTAGAGGGGAAACCCCTCATTCTCCAAGGGCCACATATACAAATGTACCTGCAAAAACTGAACACTTAGCCGGGCACATTGGTGCTCACTTGTAATCCTAGCAGCCCAAGTAGCTGAGGCAGGAGGATCACAAGCAACTTAGCAACTTAGGGAGCAACTTAGGGAGACCCTGTCTCTTTATAAAAATATAAAACGGGCTGGGGATATGGCTCAGTGGTTGAGCACCCCTGGATTCAATCCCCAGTATCAAACAACAACAACAAAACCCCAAACACTAAAAATTTCTGATGAAAAGAGGAAAACTATCAAATTCTATGGCTCTAAGAGTAATGCATCTAAAAAAAAAAAAAAGAAGGATGAAAAGCCATTACACTGCACAAAAGTAACCATATGCACCACTGTATAAAAAGTGGAAAATAGAGTATCAAGAGAACAAGTATAAAGGGCCTGATTGGACAAACCTACTAAATTGTGGCTCTGGCTTTTAAGAATGGTCAGACCTTAGGCAAAGGTGGGGTTGGGATCTGGAGACACTTGGCCCAGCTGAAGAAAGCAGGCTTGGAGTATTCCCAAACAACAGGGGCTGAGGGAACACAGTCTAGCAAGTTCAGATCTGCTAGTTTTCCCAGAAAAGCTAGAAATCCAAGTTTTCAAGCTTTGTTTTTCAGTGTCAGGAACTAGTTCAGTTATTCCATGCAGGCTGCAAATAATGATCAGTGATTCCACACTTTGGCCACTAGTGCTAACCAAGACAGTCCCCCAGTTGCTCACTGTATGCTCACTATATAAGGACTCCAGGCCACAGGGGCTGAGATCTGACCTGATCTAGGCCCTTGCTGAGAAAACAGATAAAATGGGGGGTAAGTAAGAAATGATAGAGCTGGGGTATAGCTGGTGGTAGAGGGCTTGCCTAGCTCAGGGTTTGATGCCCAGCACCTCAAAAAAAAAAAAAAAAAAAAAAGGTTGTGTTTAGACAGTCAGTCCTTGGTTATGTAATTCCATGAAAGAAAGGTAGAAAGGTTTAGTTACCTTGCATCAGAAGCAAAAAAGAATTCCACTGCTTTATCACCCACAGCATGAAGGCAGGTGGAGCTGTCCAGTCTCTTCATCCTTGTTTTACAGATATTCTTCACATTCTCAATATTGCCTAGTAAATAAAGGAATGGATTGCAAATCCCAGTAGACCATGTCATTTGCATAACAGTCGGCAAGGAGCCCATTTCCCCTTTGAATATGTGTGGGAGAAATTTGCAATTTTTAGCTTTGACTGCATCAGCTAAATCCTTTAAAAGCTCCCCAAATAGCACAGTACCATTTCAAGAGCATTTAAAGGGCTATAGTGGGAGAGTAAGGCAAACAAAAACAAAGAAACACTCAAATCAAATGGTTGCCATTATACCAAGCTGCATGCTGTTCTCTCTACTTCTGCATATGTTTGAAAATATCCACAATGAAAAGCTTTTAAAAAGATGGAGCTAAGTCTCCATGGCATGAAAATCCTTTAGATCTAGAGCAGTCCCAGTTAGAGCAAGGCCTGTTTTTTTTGTTTGTTTGTTTGGGTTTTTTTTGGAAGAGAGCTGACCCCACTAGAATAGCTGCTGAGCCCCAAGACACTGTTCAGTAGCTACATGGTTCAAGTCTTCTTCAGGAAACTTACATGTCCTATATAAGATGGGGATCTGTTCTGTGGAGAGTTTATATTTGCTCCGCACTCCAATGAGCAGTGGGCTGCCTCTCCTGTAGGGAGAAGAAAGCATCAAGTTACCCATCACCCKGGACACCCCAGGCTAGATGTCTTCTTTACATCTGAAGTAGGATTCCCAAATTTAACCCTTTCTCTGGAGCAGAAATTGTGTTAGGTCCCTTAGAATGGATGCCTTGACCACAGGAACACGTTCTCAAGATTTGGAGCAGGGATGAACAGGTTAGCAAGTGGGTCCCAGCTTACTAACACAGCATTACCTACTTGCCCAATAGCTTGGTAACACATCCTACCCCCATCCTCACAGAACCTGGACTCCTCCAATTCACTGCATCTCCACATGTGCTAAGCCTGGGTGGGTTAGGTCATATCAGAGTGAAYACTTGTGGCATGCAGGAGCACTTTGGTCCTCTAAGCAGGCTTCATTTGCTGCAGACCCTTAGAGTAGAACCCTGGGTGACCAGGATCTTCCAGTTTGTTTCTCCCTTTCTCCAAGCTCAATTGTTCTCTGGCTTTCATGGACACCCAAGCAGTGACTTTTGTGTACAGAGTTGCCTTCTATGGATTCATCCAACTGCAGATTGAAAATATTCAGAAAAAACAAACAAACCTGCCTTTGTTTTGAACCTATACAGACTTTTTTTGATCATTATCACCCAAACAAAACATCATCACCACTATTTATAGAGTATTTACATTATGCTCAATGTTATAAGTAAACTAAAGATGATTTAAAGTATATGGGAGGATGTGGGTAGATTCTACACAAATACTATGTCATTTCATAGTGAAAGGGTAAAAGAAACTGAAGTTAAAATGTAAAGAACCAGGTATTGTAAAGTTTCTAAGCTGCAAAGCCAGAGTTAAAATGTAAAGGACCAGGTATTGTTAAGTTTCTAAGCTACACTCAAAGCCCGAAATTCCTGTAGCTGTTAAGACAATTCCYRRGACTGCCYATTAGATATGTGTAGGAATCCCCCCTAGTTGCTTAACAACTTGGACCCAGTGCAGCTCAGCACGTAGGCACCTCAGGGCCTAAACCAATCAGTTTGAATGTACACCCCGCTTTAGGACTGACCTATCACCCCTGCCCGACATGTTCCCGCCAATGAATGTACTAATCATGTTTGAGAGTTGTTGTTCGATTTTCCAGCGCCTCATGATGATTTGCTCTGATGTATGCAAAGCCCCCGCCCTCCCCAAAAAGTGTACTTAAGCACTGCTTAACCCCTGCTCAGGGCTCTGGGCCGCTCTCCCTTCTTGAGTGAGCACGGAGCCCCAGCGCGCTGGATCTGCAATAAACCGCCTTTTGCTGTTGCATGAGTCTGTCTCTTGGTGGTCTCTTCCTCCGTCGTTCGCTGGTCCCTTACAACAGAAGGAACTTGACTTTCTGAGAATTTTGTTATCTGTAGGGGGGTTGGTTCTAGGGACCTAGTAGATACCAAGGGAAGATTTTACTTTACTTTGTGGGCTATTAAGGCAATTTTCAGTGTGGTTTTGGCTCTGTCTGAGTGATACCTCCTAGATGAAGTTTAGAATCATCAACTTATAAAAAGTGTACTTCATTATAAAGGAGGACAGTGATTTTCACAAGGTAGAATCTTGGGGTAATTCCTATAGGTGACCAGGATGAAGGTCCCCTAACTCAGGTCTCTTTTCCCAGGGACCCTGTCTCAGCCACCAGTACCTGGCTCTCTGAATATCTCAGAAAGGAATTTTCAGTGAAGCACTTTATAATATTTCTTTCTGGATCAGAACTTGTATTGGGGAATGCATTTAAGGTATTCCATGATTTTAATGGCATCTTGCCTTCAAAACCTAATTCTTTGCCCATTCTTATAAATTGCAGCATGCAAATCAAATATACATTGGATATACAGAGAAATAAGCAGAATACATTTGTAACTCACACATTCTAGACCTTTAATTCTGTCAGAACCCAGGCAGATAAAATTCCAATTTAGTGATCCCCCTTTTCCATGGGGGGTACATTCTAAGACTTCCAAGAGAATACCTGAGACCATGGATAGTTTTGAATCTTATATATACAATATTTTCCCTATACATACATACTTATGATAAAGTTTAATTTGTAAGTTAGGCACAGTAAGAGACTAAAAACAACTAATAATAAAATAGAACAATTATAACAATTTAAAATTTATTTGATTTATATCTGGAATTCTCTACTGGATATTTTGGACATTGGGTGTTTACAGGTAACTCAAACTTCAGAAAACAAAACCTCAGGTAAGGGGGAACGACTATAGTTACTAAGGGATGTGTGCCTTTCTTCCCCTACATGTTAACTAATAAATTAAGAAGAAGAAAACAATGTTTTAGTAAGCCCATTTGAGAGCTGTCTCAAACATATTAATTCAATAATGTTATAAAATTTTATCTCAACCAATTCTTGCTAATGTATATCAATGATCTACTTGTTCATTAGCCTGAATCCAGTCCACATATGTCATTTGATCTGTTAACCTGATCTAATATTACTATTTCTTCAGCAATAATAGATCTTATTTTCTGGTAGTATTGATCTGTTTGGACCTCTCTTCTAACTTCTCAAGGTGGGGCACAGAGTTCACAGCTTGGAAAAAAGATACTGTGAGCATCTTGAATACTTCAGACAATCTTTTACTATGTCTAAAGCAAATCAGAGCCAAAGTTCTGGGTCCAGTGGGGACCTAACTTAGATTGTCTTTCTAATATTGCCAGTGAGAAAATATGTGGTTATCTAATTTTCTTGGCAAATGGCTCCCCAAAATCTTATTGTTGTAGATTGAGCTCTATGATTTCTCAAGACTTCAAGACATAGAATTCTCCCAGGATATTCCAAAAATTGTCCTGGAGGTTACAGAGCCATCAGTCATAGGCAATTTAGAAAAATAAAGCTTTATTGTTTCCTCACACTGCCTTCTTCTACATTTATTTGAGATAGTAATATCAGATATTATCAAATTTTAAATAGAGGCTTCTAAATTTAATAAGAAGCAACTGGTATTTTATGATTCTATGATTTGAAGGAATTGTATTCCAAATGGTAAACAAGYCCCGGTCCTAGAAAAAAATAAAATGATGATAAATTCTTATCATTTTCTGCCTGGATACTTGGACAGTCTTTGAATGACAGCCTCACCCTCTCTGCCATGGTCTCTCAGGGACACAAGTACACTCTCAATGACTCCCCCATGACATCAGAACAAAGTCCACAGCCTGTATGGCATTGAGGCCCTTTAAAGTCAAGTCCTCTGTCCACAGCTTAGATCTCCACCGAAATGTAAGGGTTGAGTCTGTGTCACCTTGTTCCCTGCTGTTCCATGTGTGGCCCATAGCAGGTGTCAGTAAGCACACATTGAGACTGGAAGTCTCAGTGACCCCCTCTACCCTACCAGTATCCTGGCCAAAATGGGATACTCAAGTGCTACACTGTCTCTGGGCCTTTGTCTTTTTCCATGCTGGTGCCTCTGCTGGGGAAGGGGGAAGATGTTCCTGCTGCCTGCCTTCCCCAGGATGACATCTGCTCACCTCAGGTCCCTGGTGCACAGGTACTTCTAATCCTAATAACAGAGCATCACTACCTTCTGTTTTTCTTTGTCTTCCTGCACAACTGTCTAATCCTTAAGGGCAGAGACCAGGTTGAAAGTCACCAAGTCCCCACAAACCAGCACATAGTAAGTGCTCAACAAATATAGCTGAATGGTTGGATGGATGATCAATCTATCTGAATATATATATATATATATATATATATATATATATATATATATATATAATACACATCATAACCCACTTGAATCTAATTATGAAATATGATACGTCAAGAGCTTTGTAATGTTTTGAACAACCAATAAAAAAAAATACACATCATCTGCTTCTTTGAATCCAAGCAGCACTGGGAATTATGGGGAATGGTGACTTTAACAGAGGTTCATGTGTACATGTGGGCTGAACCAGGTCCTCTGGGCTGATTCCTGGGATGCCCTGCCATGAAGGTGTTGAGGCATGAACTCTGKACCTACAAGGACTTTTCAGTACTGGATACAAATCAATGTTTACTGTGATTCCTAGTTTCATGTTCATAATTTTGCATGCTTTTATTTACATGGGGTCCCCCAAATGTATAGACCTCAAGTACCATAAAACCAGGTTCTGTCCCCTCCATACAGTTTTATTTTTATTTAAATTTGTTGTCAACTTCTAAAAATCTGGAGATTCCACCTAACAATCCAATTATCTGATTACCCTTTCTAAAACCTTTGGAGCCCTGGTGCCACCTGCCACAGAGACAGTGGGATGCAGACGCTGGGGCTAAGACACAGTTAGTTAGCTGTCCATTAAGCCCTTCCAGTTTTCCAGAGGCCCTACCCCTCCATTATACCTCAAGCTAAGTAATTTTATCTAATTTATTTATTTGTTATTGGAAATGTCAATGCGTTTTGCCTCACCTTGTAGCAACAGCTTCTCCTGGGTAGTGGATACTCTTGAAAACCAAAGCAAATGCACCTTCCTGAAAACACATCAAAAAAGGATGAAGGGCAAATCACTCTTGCTAGTCAAGCTGTTGCAGCCCATTGCCCCAGGCAAGTCCTCCCTTGGTCCCTCTTAGTATGTAGACCTGGGGTCATTTGGAAGCTAAATGCAGAGACAGCTTGTGCARGATAAGGTCATGAGAAAAAGTCAAAAGGAGAGTACTAGGCTGAAGTACCAAAGACTGAAACTTGTGAATTTCATGTGAGCAACATAAACCACACCTTCCTGCCAAGGCCAATAAAGAACCCCCATCAGGGCTGCCCCTTTGGGATATGCTGCGGGGATTGGTGTAGTTAGAACCACAGGAAATAAGAACCTGGGCCAGGGGGCCCTGCACTGAGCCTAAGGATGGGATCTATGGAGGGAGAAGCTGTGATATTAAAGAGGCTATTCCAGGACTGCATTTAGAGCCTGGTTCAATTTTTTAAATCTTATTTGTTTATTTTTTTACACATTACTATAGAATTTATTGTATATATTTATACAATCATTGTTTGCATTATAGTTCCCATATCTTATAGTTTTTTATTAATTCAAATTTTAGCTCCATCTCTTAATTGGGCAAGGACATCAGCCATTGTGCCCCTCATTTTTCATGATCTGGAACCAAAAAAAGAAYAGTCCTATCTTTTATACCTTTGTGAGTATAAACTAATGCATTGTAAGTGCTTAGAACAGTGCCTGGGCTCTAGAGAATCCAAGAGATGACTGTTGGTATTATTTCTAGGCTATGACTGTCATTTGCCCTCTGTGCTTCAACTTAATGAGTTTGTGCAAAGTCAGAACTAGAATCTAGCTCTTCTAACTCATTATTCTGAAAGCTCTTTCTTAAATTTCTGATGCAAAATTCTCCCCTGCATTCTGACCTTCCTGTGGCAGTTTRACATGACCCTGGTAGACCTCAGTTATGTATAACCAGCTATAAATCCAAATTTCCATGTGAAATCCCCCAAATTTTGGAACCCTGGGAAGACCCAAGGCCCTGTGCAACCAGCATGCTCTGTCTAGTTTTCCAGGGGACCCAAGGTCCATGTCCCCAGGCCTCAAAGGTCTTTAAAACTGCCCAWAATGAAGGGGTTTCAGGCAGACCCAAAGTGGCCTCACATTTTCCTGCTGCTTTTGTCAACAGTAAAGTACTAAACAGAAATCCACTTTTTTTTTTTAAACCAAAAAGAGCCTTTTGTTACTTCAGGAAAGAAAAGCTACAGGTTTAATAGTGCCATTACGGGGAATGCATTTCTAAAATTTAAAATTACAAATAGAAAAGAAGGAATACTGTGCTGCAATAACAAATTGGTTGCTGTACATCCTCCATTTCTGTGGATTTTGCATTTGCAGATCCAACTAACTGCTGAAAAAATGGTAATTTGTTATCAGGTGTATTACTATATACTTAGGCCTATGATGGTTGCATCTGTACTGAACATGCACAGACTTTTTTTTTTTTTGTCTTGTCATTATTTCCTAAACTATACAATATAACAACTATTTACACAGTAATTACATTGTATTAAGTATTACATGTCATCTAAAATGATTTAAAATATATAGGAGGATGTGTATAGGTTATAAGGGACTTGGGCATGTGTGGATTTTGGTATCTGGGGGGTAGGTCCTGGGACAGCCTCCAATCCAGGATGTCCTGGATTCTGGTCCCTGCACATTATCTCCAGGCTGCCACTACATTGGAGGAGCTATTAGATGGCAGTGACACCTTGGAGGATGGGCTCTGGAATATCTGATCCTCTTCTTCTTCTCCTCCTACCATCCCACACGGGCTTGCATCTACTCTACCTCATCCTCCAAGGAGGGACTTCTTGCACAATCCCCCAGAGTTTGATCTTTTTGTGGGGGACTTTGCTCTCTCAGTATAGTCCTTTGGGACATCACTGATTTCTCTTGCTCCCTCCCCTGGGCCATTCTCTTCAGCATGTAGATGTAGATGTRTCCTGATATCTATCATAAAAACACAATCTTCTCCCACAACTGCCACCCTCTCCTGTCCCTGAGTCATTTGTTTGCACCCATCTATAATCAAACATCAGAAATCTGCATCTGTAGGCCCTATTTCTTCCTTTCTCCTTCCCTTCCTTCCTTCTCCATTTAATAAGTAAATGTGGGCATGTCTCCCCTGTGACCAAAAATTGCTTTACCAATCAGGAGGCCCAGACTACAATTCTAAGTCTCCACCATTGTTAAATCCATCTCACGTATGTAACTAACAGTGCACAAACTCAACTGAAAAGATGACAGCGTGGAGCTGCCAGGATCACATGTGTGATTGAGACTGTACATAGCCATCGACTCTAAAACCAGTCAGCAACTCAGAGGTGTTAACATGAAGCCAGGCACTTTCKACTTGGTGTTTACCACCCAAATGATAGAATTCCCAATTCTACAAGGATGTAACCTCTTACGTTCAGACACTCTAGATGACCCATCCTTCATCCCGAGTACTTTGTGCAAATTTGCCTAGTAAGTGCTTACAAAAATGAAGGTATAATTTTGACAGATGAAACTAACTCACCAACTGTTGAATGACTCTCTCAACCAGTGTTGAAAATGTGATGTCCTCAGTTTCTCTGTTATCAAATACATACTTAATCAGTTTGGCGATGGTCTCGGTATCTGTTTCTGACTCAAACTCATAGCCTTTGCTTTCCTGGAATAGGAGGTTGGACATGGGGTGACAGATAATGGTCATTGCACAACTGGCCTGGACAACTCCCTCTAGCCCCTTATGATTTGACTTGAGAACAAGGAAAACTGGAAAGAGACAAAAAATGTTTGCCAGAATTGCACAGTCAAACACCTCTGAGTCATCCTAGTATTCCCTGAGATCATCCCTCCTTAGGAGTTTGTCCTTGCTGTTAATCTAGACATTGCAAAATAACGGCAGTCGAAATGATAAAATATGTTGAGTCAAATCCACCCACATCCCAGCCACCACCACAACCTTTTCACACTGGGGATCCTCACTTCTTACTCCCCACCCTGCATTCCATTTGGTGTATGAGTCAATGTGTTACATGGCACAACTATTTTAATAAAACCCCTAACCCTGTTTTTTTTTTTTTTTTTTTTGATTCTGTGAATCGACAGTGGTCCTTGAGATGAATCCTAAAGCCCTGGTATGTCCCCAAACAAGATTCTTGGCATGGTGGCTCAGCTGGGGCTGAGGTTCACACTTAATGTTGTAAGGTGGCTGAGAGTGGGTTTCACACAATCCATATAAGTTTTAGAGCTCATCCACAATGTTTAATAAATCTACAGCATTTAATTAATTAATTTTTGTGGTGGTTCTAGAGATCAAACAGCTACATTCTCAGCCCCTAACTATGTTTTTGGAGGAAAACATACTGGTTAAAAATTTTCTGAGGGGAAGATGTTACATGGGGAATGTATCTTACCAGAAATTTTCTCAGATCTTTGTAATTTGTGATGATCCCATTATGGATGACAACAAATTCTGAAAGAAAGTTTAATGAAGGCAGAAGTGTTAATAAGAAGTGAAGTTCAAGTAAGATCCAAATGAAAGGGATTTGATGACTTAAAAAACTCTCTGCAAACTGTGTTCCTACAAAGATTTGTGTTAAGTAAACTTCTTTTTATTGTAATTAGAATTGATGTCTATGATAACTACAATTCAAACCTGAGGAAATGCACATTTATCTTTCAGTAGCAAGCATCCACCAACCTGCCCACACGCACGCACAGAGCTCTTCCTTGTGGTCTACAATATTATCCTTTGGGACATCACTKATTAACCCTTCATTACCCAGAAATGATTACAGGCATTCCCAACAGGATTTAGACTCAAAGGGGTCACAAACTAACAGTTGGCAGGTGTGCTTTGTTTGACTCACATTGTATTGCAAAAATATTTGAGTTTAAATTTTTTTTTTTTTTTTAGTTTTTGCTTTAAAATTTCTTAGGGAGAAAAACCTGGAGGTTCTAACACCCTGGGCTCCCCCACATTCCTGTGTGGCCAAAGGCTTATCTCTTTAGCAGGTTTGCACCTTCTTCTACCTCTCTTTATTTATTTATTTTTTGATTGGCCCTTATTTTTACAAATTATTGGAGTTCTAAATATGAGTACATAAATGAGATTGTGTTCAAACATCATCTAAAAAGAAACMCAGTCCTATATGAACTGTGCCATATGTGTCCTAAATAGAGCCAGGTTAGATGTCTCCTGTGTACTGTTTTTCCAGACTCCATTTCACATTAACTATTCACTGCATATTTTCCCACCTCAAAAAATAAGATGCAAAACAAGTTTGCACATTTTTTCTTTTTTTTTTAATCAAATTAAATCAAGATTGTATTGTGTACACAAAAGCTGGCCAGGACTGTCTCTTACAAGATTCCATGCTAGAGATCATCCCCCTGATCTTCAGGAAAAAGTTTTTACAGCMCAAAAAGTTACAATGGAGGTGGGTGTCTAAGGTACTTACAGCTAACAAGATTTTGACAATCATAATACAAAGGCAAATAGCAGGTTAAGGATCTATATGGCTAACATTTCAAGGTAAAAAATAAATTCAGCTCCGGACATTAGAATTTATGAGCTTCCACTGAGATTTAGAGAAAATTGTTATTTGGTCAGCAGGAGCCAGAATTTATGAGGCACCAGTAAGGTTTTAGAGAGGGTTGTTATCTGGTAAGGGATAGCCAGGCATAGGTGAATTCAAAACACAGGTAGAAATTRCAAGCAAGTTTAAAACATCAAAATATTGTCAGGCAAAAGAGAAATTTTAGTTTTCTTACACAAAACAGAAATAAACTTTTTACTTCTAAAAGCTCTAAGAGAAGATTTTATTTTTTTGTATTTTCTCATATCTAATGGCTTCTGGCATTCCTTTGTTTGTGACCCATAAATGCTTCTCTTTTGTGTTTATGGGGCTTCCAAAACAAATATATATATATGCCCTTCTCAGAGGGAAGATGTTTCTAACATAGCAAGTAACTACCCTTTAACCCACAGAGACTGACAACCATATTATAGGATATAGACCACCTGCATACCCTACTGCCTTTGGGCAGCTCCCTGCACAGATGAGACCACCTGAAAAGCCCTGGGAGGGCTAGGGACATGTCTGCCTCAGTCACCATTGTGTTGTTTCAATAAATAACCAGTGAATGAGTAATTTGGAGGGAAAGTCTAAGGCCAGCCTGAGAGTTTTGGGGGACAAGTCCTAGATGATAGTCACTTTATTGCCTATAATCCAATAATTACTCTGGGATGTGTTGGATGCCCCTTACATGTATTAACTGTTATTCAGGGACTCTTTGTATTTCCTATTCAAGTTTTTCTTCTGCTCAGGAGAGATTTCTTTTATTTCCTCTTTTGAAACTTTTAAAATTATTCTTTAGGTTCACCATAACTTACCCTTTTTAAAGAAAAACTATTGCTTATTTTTTTGTGAGGTCACACACACAAAATGAGAGAACTTAAATGAGAAAAGCCTGTGATTCAAACATTATACAGTGTGTATATGTGTCGAAATATCACATGGTACACCATAAGTATAATTTTAATGTTTTTATGTATCAGTTTTAAAATAAATTTTAAAATTAAAGGAAAAAAAGAAAACACCAGTTTAAGCAGGTGTGATGGCCACAGATGTAGTTTTTTACAATTTAACTTGCTCTGATCTTTTCTTGTGAACACAAGTTATCCCTATATTGGATCTCTATTAACTGACCATATCCCATTCTCTAGTTTATTTTTTATTTTTATTTTTATAAAAATTGTGGTATTTTTTACATTATTTTCATAAGTGTCATTTTTTTTTCATTTCAGTCTATTATCTTAGCTTATTTGCACTCTAAAGCCCATGTTTTCTTTGCAAAAACTTTTTTATTTTATTTTTTGCAGTACTGGGGTTTGAACTCAGGGCTTCATGCATGCTAGGCAAGCACTCTGCSACTGAGTTATGCACCCAGCCCTTCAAAAACTTATTTGGGTAATTTCCTCATGAGATGTAGTGGCTGGGTATAAGAATCCCACTGACAAATTATTAAACTTTACACATTATTAATTCTTTAAATATTGCTCTTGTTGTTCTCTTTTCAATTACTCATCCTGAGTCAGAGCAGGAGTTTCCAAGTTTGGGTGTTGGTGGGTTTCCTTGAAGCTTCTCTGCTTTGGGGACACAATAAGAATCATTGTGTGTACTGAAGTGGGGGTTTTCTGATGAGGTTCACCTCATCACCTTAGGGTGGGCAGGAGGACACGACTGAAATTGCAATATTCCAGGGCACATGGTCTTGAYAGTGTTTTGGTCTTGGTAGTGTTTTCTCAGTCCACACTGCTGCTCTAGGAACCAGCTTCAGYATCTAACTTGGGGTTTGGCCAGATCCATAGCACTATGAGGCTTGCTGTCCTCATCCTGGGTATAGGGTACCTGTCCCGGTTGTGGGATGCCCTGTTGTTCAGGGTATGGACTGAACCCAGGGGAAAACCCCCACCAAAAAAACTCACTGTGGGGAGACATGAGGGCACAGGTATATCCCCAGAAGCTCTGCTCTCCTTCCATTTTCTAGAAAAAAGCCTTTGTTTTCAAATCAGGCTGGCAAACCCCTTCAAAGTGCTTTGGGGAGAAGATTTAGCATCCTGCACCTTGTGTTGAGGGTTGGGGTATTTGCCCTTCCTATCTGTGCTGCACACTGCCCTGTGGAGAAGATTTAGCATCCTGCACCTTGTGTTGAGGGTTTGGGTATTTGCCCTTCCTGTCTGTGCTGCACACTGCCCTGGGGTGCCTCTGATCTGCCCTGGGTGAAGGACAGTGATCAGAAAGCTTTTGCTCTCTCCTTGGCCTGACTTTACAAGTAAGGCTTGTCAAGTGTGTAACTTAGCGCCTGCTAAGAAGCCTCCAACAACTGTTCTGATGTATTTGATCCTTACTCTCATATAAGGCTTGGCAAGATCCTGTACTATACCAGGGGATAGCTCAGGGTGGGACCCCTGGCTGACTCATTTTCTCTGATGAACAAGCTCCCCCATCATGCTCAGGTGTAAATCTTAGAGAGCTTCTGATCTGAATAACTCTAAGTGAGCATCCTCTGGAAGGCCTAGATTATGTTTTAGATTCTTGCCTGTTATTGGAGGCYTGGGAGGAGTTAGGGATTAAACCTTCTCTCTATCTCATACCCCTCCACATATATTGCAGGAGGCTGATCACAGAGCCCCTGAGAGCTGCCACTGGGAGCTTCAAACCTGCCAATATATTCCCCATAATAGGAGGCTAGGATATGATTTAAGAGAATCATAGCATAGAGAATCATCCTGGGGGACATATGAGCTGGGGCTGGCATGAAGGGCACTTGGGAGAGCTGAAGAACCCCAAACCCACTAAAGGTTCTCATGTCCCTGTTCAGTGACCTTGACCCACTGCCAGTCAGCAGTACTCTGAGGTATTGTGAGCCCAAGTGTCCCATATCATCCAGGTTTTCTGAGGGACCTCAACAGTTTGGACTTTTCTACCCAATGTCTCCCAATTTTTAAAAACATGAAGAAAGCCAAATCAAAGGAACTTCTGAAAAAGAGCTTTCAGGCTRCTAGTTGAAGCTGCTGCTTCTCCAAATCTTAAGAGCCCTGAATCTAAATTTTTGGCTGCTGAGACCTCACTGCTGGGGCTCAGAGGTTGGAGGAGGCACCTCAGATAATAACCATGATCAACAGTGTTATTTGCCTTCCCTTAGGACCACCCTCCGCAGAGAAGGGAGGTGGGTTTAGCTGGATGGGGGAGGAAYCCCACCCTTCCCTGTCTCTCACAGGTTCATGTCTAGATGATAGATCCTCAGGGTAGTGGTGTGAGAGGTGGGGGAACCTTCAAGAGGTGGGGCTTAGCCAGGTGCAGTGGTGCATGCCAGTGTGTAATCCCAGCAACTCAGAAGGCTGAGATAGGAGGATGRTAAATTCAAAGCCAGCCTCAGAAACTTAGCAAGGCCCTAAGCAACTTAGAGACACCCTGTCTCAAAATAAAAAATGAAAAGGGCCAGGGATGTGGGGATGTGGCTCAGTGGTTGAATGCCTCTGGGCTCAATGTCCAGTACAAAAAAAAAAAAAAAAAAAAAGTGTGGCTTAGTGGAAAGTTATTAGGGCACGTTCTCAGAAGAAATTGATATAGGTCTCATGGGACTCTGGAAAGACTGGGTTGTTACATGGCAAGTCCACTCCACATGGCCCTTTCCACATGCAGCCAATTTCCCTTTCTGCTTTTCCACTATGTTRTGATGAAGCCAAGGTGGTCCTCACTAGAGGTCAAATAGGTTGGGCTACCTGAACATGGACTTTGGGCTTCTAAAATTAKGAGCTAAATGAACCATTTTTCTTTGTAAAATACCTATCTTGGGATATTTTATTACAGCACTAGAAAATGCACTATTACACTGCCATATTCCACTCTTGGGGTGGGGTTCCAAAGAGCCAGTTTCTCTTGTAGTAAAATGCCACTGTTTTCCAATAGGGCACCTGGGAGGTTAGTATTACTCAGGGGCCAAGTTGGGTCAGCCTCTTGACCAAGATCTAGGTTTACCTGCTTATAGGAGAGGAGACATTGGATTATATTGGGAAGACAGAACAGGTGAAAAATTCAGTTCAAGGTAGGCATGGAACCCACTCTGGCAAGGATTATACCTGAAATATAGTTCAGGGTGAGTGAGGCAGAACCATCAGAAAAAGGAAGCAAGGCCACACAACATACCGTTGCCTTTGTCTGAGCGCTGCGGGTGGCTGTTAACAGCATTGGGGACCCCGTGGGTGGCCCAGCGTGTGTGGGCAATACCAAAGTGTGTCTCGAACTCCACCTTTAAGTCCATGCTGTCTTGTTCTAAATGAAAGGAAAAGCAGTTTGATACACTTTAAAAAGTAAGCATTGACACAGGGCTGCTAAGCAGAGGTGGTGCCATTACACCAAGACATATCGTCCAAGCCATCCTCACCATCAGTCCCATATGCCCCACCACAGGAATTTCAGCCAGACCCATGTTCCACCCAGGATGAAGATTATTTAGTACTTTAATAACTTAACTCATTTCTTAACCAAAATAAACTGCCTTTAAAAAGAAACTGATAGCCAGGCATGGTGGTGCACACCTGCAATCTCAGCTACTTTGCAGGCTGAGGCAGGAGGCTCACCAAGTTGAGACCAATGTGGACAACTTGGTGAGAACTTGTCTCAAAATAAAAACGATTGGGAACGTAGTTCAGTGATAGAGTGCTTGCTTAGTAAGTGTGAGGTCCTCAGTTTAATCCCCAGTACTGAAGGGAAAAAAAAGAAAATGATATATCACTACTATAAGTAGAAAAGCAATATCATTGGCCGAAAAAATTAAATACATAACTATTAAATTTTTTTTTTAAAAGTCTCCATGTGCCACTGACTCAAATTAACGATCTTACAAAATGTGAATTATTGCAACATGGACTTAACCTTCCTGCTATTTATCCAAGCTTAGATAAATTCATATTTTTGGTCTAGAGTTCTGTTGGAATACAGTATTTTCAAGTGACCMAAGCCGCATCGATTACTCTAATGCAGAACATTTCCTACTTACTGTAAAGTTCTTCATCCAGAGCCTTGACTTTTCCCTTTTTCTTGACTAGCTGAATATGTCTCTCTTTGACTTCATGATTATTCCCATCAATGGCCACACCTGTAATTAAAATTTTTTTTTTACATTTTTGATTTTTATTGAAATTGTAAAATGCAAAAATCAATGAGCTTTGATAAGTGCATATACTAGTGTGACCTACACACCTACAAGCTACAGAACAATTCTATTACCCGGAAATATCCCTTAGGTCATTTCCATTCACTTTCCCCACCCCCAAAGAGGGCAACRGCCATTCAGTTTCTGCCACAATAAACTAGTTTTGCCTGTTCTAGAACTTAACAGAACTGTACACATAAACATTACTTTTTATGGTGGAGAGTTAAGTTTTGTCTCACACCTTATCACGATGCACCTCCCTATCTGAAGTTTCTGCATCCATGGGACCAGCCCACTATTGACAGAAAATATTTGAAATGAATAAATAAATCACATCTATACTGAATACTTAGACTTTTTTCCTGCCCTAAACATGAAAAAAAATTATTTACATAGTATTTGCATTGTATTAGGTATTATAAGGAATCTAGAAATGATTTAAAGTATGCAGGAGGATGTGGGAAAGTTATATGCAAATACAATGTTATTTTATAGGARGAACTTGATCATCTATGAATTCTGGTGTCTGCAGAGGTTCCTGGAGGACAACTGTACTCTCCAGCATTAGGGTCATAGGTGCTGTTTATTATCATTTTTGTTCCCCAGTACTGCCTACCAAAATACAACTAAATAGTTTTCAGGAATCTATTTTGAAAGAAGGAGCCACAACTGTGGCCATACTTTCCAGTAAGCAGAGAAATATATGCTTGGATCCTGGTCTTGGCTGCCCAGCAGGCACTACCACACCTGCTACTAATGGCAATGGGCTTATCCAAGGGCATTGATCCTTGTGCTCTTTGCATTATATTTTATCTGCACTTTTCATTCACTCACACATTAGTGTGCCTGTGACCTTTTATCTGACTCGCTTTCTCTTAAGAACTGATAGGGATATAAAATTACCTGGTTTTACWCCACTTTTCAGGTTGCTTAATTAACAATGGGGAAAGACTAAATATTCATCTATTTGGCAGGTAGAGGAGGAAACCCTGAGATAGCCATTCAGGGGATGATTGTCAATAATCAGAAAGATATTTAGGAAGAGTTTAGAATAATGGAAATGCTAAATGAAAAAAGAAGAATATAAAATTATAGGAACTGGGAAAGTAGCTCAATCATAGAACATGTGCTTAGCATAAGAGAGGCCCTGAGTTCAATCCTCAATACCAAAAAAAAAAAAAAAAGAAAAAAGAAAAAATATACCCAGACCCATATACACATTGATTACAAAATTGTATAAATATGATAGGGAAAACAAACAAAATCTATGTATAACACCTATGTATAACTGGGGAAGGGTAGAGACCCTTCCCCAGTTCAGACTAGATCAATATACAACAATGACCACATGAAGGGCACCAAGATATTGATGGAAGATACTTTATTGAGGTATGGTTGACATTTGGAAAGTTGTATATACTTAATGTGTACAACTTGATGAGTTTGGAAGTAAGTATTGATCTCCACAATTTACGCCATAAACTTACCCATCTCCAAAAGTTTCCTCTTATTCTTATTATTACTAAAATTATTATTGTGTTATGTGTGTTAAGAGCACTTAATATAAGATCTACCCTCCTAGCAAAAAACTTTTTTTTAATACCAGGGATTGAATCCAGGGGTGCTTAACCACTGGGCCATATCTCCATTGCCCCCACACTTTTTAAAAAAATATTGTTTTAGCTGTTGATAGACCTTTATTTTATTTATGTATTTATATGTGGTGCTGAGAATCAAACCCAGTGCCTCTCACATGCCAGGTAAGTGCACTACTGCTGAGCCTCAGCCCCAATCCCACATACCCTTTTTATTTTTTGAGACAGTTGCTGAGAGTGGCTTTCAACTTGTAATCCTCCTGCCTCAGTGTCCCAAAACATTGAGATTACAGGCATGTGCCACTCTGCCCAGTGCAAACTTTTTAAGTAAACAATATAGTATCATTGACCATAGGCAATATATTATTGCACCATCAATAATATATATTTTTGTTTTTGTTTTTATTTCTAACCCTTGTTTCTTCCTTTCTAAGGTTTTTAAAGATAGTTTTCTCGGGGCTGGTGTTGTAGCTTAGTGGTAGAGCACCTGCCTAGCATGTGTGAAGCACTGAGTTCGATTCTCAGCACCACATATAAATAAATAAAATAAAGGTCCATTAAAAAAAAAGATAGTTTACTCTTTTATAGTTTTCAAGTTTCTTTAATGAACAAGTGTTATTTTTATATTGAAAAGAAACATTAAGTAGAAGTATCAGAAAAATGCCCAGGTTGTATAAAGCMCCATCAAAAAGGAAATGGGTGAGAGAAGAAGCTGCTCAAGTGTCCCAAGACCATGAGGTGACCTGCAGCCCCTACCTGCAGAGTCGTAGCCTCTGTACTCAAGCCTCTGCAGGCCCTTGATGAGGGTTTCGAAAATCTCCTTCCTTGTCCGAGGGACTCTGTAGTTCATGTAGGCGAAGATTCCTGTTCAAGGAGAAAAAAAAGTCACATTAAAAAAAAATAAATCTCTGATCATCKTTAAAAGAAGTACTCCTGGGAATGCAGACACAGGTAGCAAGCATCTCAGGAAGGCTCTTAGGCTGCTTGCAGAGGAAAACGTGGCTCTYCCTGGCWTAACTGAAGAATGGCGCTTCCCTCCTGCTTCTAGAAGGGTGTTGTACTTAATCCTTCCCTCTTATGACAAAAATGCTCATGAATCCTGTGCCATGCCCCTTGGCCATGCAATTCCACTGCAGAGAATTTATCCTCTGGATGTACTTGCAAGAAAGCTTTCCTTGTGTGGCATTTGTAGAAGTTAGCAAAGCAATCCAGTCATCTTGGGACATCTAAAAGCCCCCAACTCCATGTGTTCTTTGATTTTCACAGAACATGCCTGAGATGAATCATAAAARAGTCACAGCAGCCACCTGTGGCAGGTGGGGACAGAAGTTGGAGCCTTTGCTTCCACTTTCCACTTGTCTGTATGGCTTGGAGTTGGACTATAAATAAGCACTACTTTTATTACTGCAAGAAAATCCATCTTATGTCCCCTCATGCCCTGGACAATCCTTATTTTCAAGCCAGGCTGGCGAGCCAAGATTTTACTTGACTTTATTTTCTGTATTTGTATTTCAAAGTAATATTTTTTTCCAAATAGAAATTAATAATCTGCCTCTCCACATTCTTCTACTCCCCTGTTTGCAACTACGCCCTTCATTTGCATCTGCTTCTCTCCTGCTCTATAAGTGTCCCATTCCATTATTCCCTCTGTCCTTTCAACCTCTTTGTCCCCACTTGAGAAAAAACTGCCCAATTCAGAGCTCAGTTCCCACCCCACCTTCCAGAGGAGGCTTCTTCTGGCTCTTGACATGAGTGCTCCCATCTCTGGGCAATACTGATGCAAGTCTTGCGTCATGGGCATCTATATTCCCTGACAAGAGCTGCTATGGTTTGGATGTTGTTTGTCCCCCCAAAGGTTCATGTGCTGGAAACGTGGTCTCCAGTGTGGTGGTGTTGAGAGGGTGGAACCTTTAAGAGGTGGAGCTAGTGAAAGGTAATTTGGTCATGGGGGCTTCACCCTGGGAATGGACTGGTGTTGGCSTTGCAATGTGGTTGGGTCTTGTAGGGGTGAATTAGTTCTCATGAGAACAGGTTGTGATAMAGTGAGGCCACTCCACATGTTTGGTCTCTTTTGCAACTTTTTCCCTTTCTGCTTCTCTTGTTATGCACACATGGGAGCCCTCACCTGGGCCCTGGTGCTATGCTGTTTGGCTCTTTCAGCTACAAGAATCATGAACCAAATAAATTTGTTTACTTATAAAGTTAGCAGCCTGGGAGCTGGTGTTAAGTAAGGTCTGTAAACAAGTCAAAATAACACCTGGTATTTTGCCAGGGGAATGTTAGAGTTCGTAAACAAGTCTGATTGGTGCCTGGCAAAATGCCAGAGGGAGTGGTTTGAGAAGTAACAAAAGCAAGCCATTAAGTGTGGAGATATTGGTTGACTGATGTATCTAGTTTATGCTAATTAAGATAAGCTGTGCAAAATGTATAAATAGTTCTGTTGTCTTACAATAAACGGCTCCTACTCCTGCTGTATCAATCTACACAAGTTATTCGTCACCCCCGCCCCCCAAGCTGGGATTTTGGATCAGTGGTAGAGTGCTTGCCTAGCATGTGCAAGGCCCTGGGTTTGATCCTCAGCACCACATAAAAAATAAATAAATAAAATAAAGATATTAAAAAAAAACTATTACAAAAAAGCTAGTAGCCTGTGCTATTTTGTAATAACAACACAAAATAGACTTTAACAAGCACACAGGCTGGCATGTCCATACATTTTTCTGTGTTTTGGCACATAATTCTTGTTCAATAAATATATGTAGAATGGAATGACCATAAGTCTGTATTAATGGGAAAAAAGCAATAATACAAAACATGAAGTTATTGGGGTTCAAGGATATTCATAGTAACTGTCAAGTCCATTCAAGCTGTTATAATAAAATACCATTGACTAGGTAATTTGTGAACAATGGAAGTATATTCTGCACAGTTCTGAAGGCTGGAAAGTCTAAGGTCAGAGTGCCAATAGATGCCCTGTCTAGTGAAGAATCACTTTCTCAGGAATAATGGTATTCTCACTCTAACCTCCTTGGTGGAAGGATGAAGGGCCCTCTCTTGGGTCTTTTATAAGGGTACTAATTCCATTTATGAGGGTTTTGCCTCCATGACCTAATCATTTCCCAAAGGTTCCACCTCCTAATTCCATTGCCTTACGAGTGAGAATTTCAACATATTCATTTTGGGGAACATCAACATTAAGATCACAGCAGAAGCTAATCTCACTATGTGCCAGGCCAAGTGTTTCCACAGAAATGTCAATCAAAACTCTTGACAGTCTTCAATGCTTCTTCTCAACTTAAGCCTGGAGAGGCTGTCACTCATTTAGAGTTGAGAGTGGAACCAAGGAGAACTGACTTTAGGACTTAAATGCTCCTAACCACTATAGAGTGCTTCCTCTAGAATTAATTGATGAGGGTTAAAGAAGGTTTATGTTCCCATTGCATTTTGCTGGGATGGCTGGATTAACATTTTTCCAGCAATGAACCTCAACAGAAGACTCTTTACYTACAGATTACCCAGGACCAATTACAAGTATATACTAAATCACCTATAATACCTCCAACTTTTAAGATTAGATTCAAGTCCTTATAGTGTATCTGAAGGTTGGATCCCCTCATACCAACATTTAACTTACTAAAATTCATCTGCATATACTTGGTCAAAAAATAGGCCATAAAATTTACAGTACTTAAATTATATTTAGCATTCTTAAAAACTGTACATTATTGTACATGAGATATATTTGCACCCACGTATTAAGGTATGAGGTTTGGATATAAAAATAATGCACAATGTACTTTCTAAGCAGTTACAGATTTTTTTTTTTATTTTAACGTGGCCAAGGGCAATTTTGATGGTAAGCTATTTTCATCTTCCCTGCTGACCTCAGGTCAGGTGAGAGGTGCTGAATATAAGGGCTGTGTGTGCAATTTGGGTCCCTCCTCCCTCCCTGTGGGGCTGAGATGTCCCTCCAAAGAAGATCCTGCTACTGCAGGGCTGCTGTTGACCATTTATGATGCCAGGAGCTCACATTTTTTACCTTATACGTCAAACCAAAAAGACATCTAGCCCTTGTATAAATTTTGTCACCTTATTTTTATAAAAAAGACAGTTATCTTTTAATATCAACCTTCATTTTTAAAAAAAATTGTTGATGGACCTTTATTTTATTTATTTATGTATGGTGCTGAGAATTGAACCCAGTGCTGCAYACATACTAGGCAAGCACTGTACCACTGAGCTACAACCCCAGCCCCAACATTCAAATTTTGACAGCTTTCTTGAGATATAAATATACTTATATATTATAAATATGTAATATTATCTTACAATATTATCTCTTTAAAGCATACAATGCAACGGTTTTTAATGTATTCACAAAGTTGTGCAACTATTTCCACAATGTATATTTAGGTGAAATTCTTCCCAACATTCATTTTTCTGCAACAGTGAGAAAGTTCCCTGGGTGCTATGGTCAAATTCTAGTCAAAAAAAGGGCACAAAGCTATGGGAGACAGTTAGGTGAAGGGTGAAGCAACTCAATGCAGTATTTGGAATTCCTTATTTGGAATTTTGATTTCTGAGGTTTCAATGACCTCATTCTGAAYATATTAAATGGAAAATTCCAGAAATGAACAATTCACAAGTTTTAAATTGTATGACATTCTAAGGATGGTTTACCACTCCTGCCCAGGAGGTGAACCTTCCCTTTGTTCAGTATGGCCACRCTGTAAATACTCCCCACCCATTAGTCACTTAGTGGCTGTCTGCATTATTGGACAGACTGCTACAGTACTGCAGTGCTTGTGTTCAAGTGACTCTTATTTTACTTACTAACGGCCCCAAAGTACGAGAGTATTGCTGGCCAGAGAGGAGCTATAAAGTACTTCCTTTAACTGAAAAGGTAGAAGTTCTTGACTGAATCAGAAAAGAAAAAAGATCATACACYGAGGTTGCCAAGATCTATAGTAACAATCTGAAATTGCAAAGAAGGAAAAAGAAATTCATGCTAGTTTTGCTGTCGCACCTCAAACTGCAACCATACAGTATAATTGCTTATTTGAAGTGGAAAAGACATTAAAATTATAGAGTTTGGTACTCTCCACAGTTTCAGGTATCTACTGGGACTCTCAGAACACATCCCCCACAGATAAAGGGAAACTACTGTAGGTCATCATTAGAGTCTTTTTTTTTTTTTAATCATTAGAGGCTTTTTAAAATAAACTTTCCTAGCAATCCTGGGAATGTTCCAGAGTTATACCTAAGTTTACTAAGAGGAAGTGATGTGCATTGCAGATGACATAAAGGCCCAGAAAGGAAAAGATTTAAAATCTGGATTATTTTCACATGAAGCCTTTTGGATTCATCTTGCCATTTTCCCTCTGCAATCCCCCTCTTCTAAGCCACATGTCACTTCTGACCACATATCTGGAATGTACATTCTATTTGGCACCTCAGATCCACAATGTCCTCCAAGCTGAGTGCAGGGGGTGCCAGAGGTCCCTAGTAGGCTGGGACCATTAAAGGGTGTTTGTCTTCTGGAACCAGCTTTATTCAAACACAGCTAGGAGGCTCAGTGGCCACTTAGGGCACAGTTTGGAAATTGACTACAGTGAGGGAGGCTGCCAAGGAGTGATTTTTTAAGGTCTTCATGCAAGAAGGAATAAATCTAATTTTMAATGTGAAATCTCTATTCAGTAATTTCTTTAATTAATTAAGCACCTTCTTTTTCCTTGTGCAGCTCATCTTCTTGGCTGGATTCTCTATGCACTCCTACTGAAGTGACTAAAACAACATTTATAATGATATTTATTATCAACAGCTCTTATTATTCAAAAAAGGATAATAAAATAACAATTCTCTTT